AGTTAAAATATTAATTTAAAGTATTAATGTTTAATTTAAAGTTAAAGTATTAATTTAAAGTATTAATGTTTAATTTAAAGTTAAAGTATTAATATAAAGTATTAATGTTTAATTTAAAGTTAAAGTATTAATGTTTAATTTAAAGTTAAAGTATTAATTTAAAGTATTAATGTTTAATTTAAAGTTAAAGTATTAATATAAAATATTAATGTTTAATTTAAAGTTAAAGTATTAATGTTTAATTTAAAGTTAAAGTATTAATGTTTAATTTAAAATTAAAGTATAAATGTTTAATTTAAAGTTAAAGTATTAATTTAAAGTATTAATGTTTAATTTAAAGTATAAATGTTTAATTTAAAGTTAAATGTTAAATAGTTTCTGTCCTCTCTGCAGCTCTGTACTCTCCGGTCCGAGCGGTTCCTCTCAGACCGAGGCTTCACTCTCCCAGCAGCCACCGGGCCACGCCTCCTCGTCAGTCCTCTGCCCTGCACCCCATCGCCGCCGCTCCGCCCGCTCAGGCTCCGCCCACCGGTCGGCGTCTGACCGGGACCAAGAGCTGTCCGTTACCTCAGCGGGGTTCTGCCCAGCTCGGCCCGTTAGCCTCCTCCAAGCAGTTCGAGCGCTCGCCGTCTGCGGCGCGGCAGCTCCAGATCATCGCCCTGTCCTCAGGCCGCCAGCCGCCGTCTGCGCCTGGACCCGCCCAGGACTCACCTCCTCTGACGTCCTCGTCCTCAGCTCCTCCTCACTCCGGTCCTGCCTCCTCTTCGGGTCAAACGGGCCCTCAAACACAAACTCTGACCCAGAAAACAGAACCAAAGCTCGGCTGTGAGAAGACCGGCGCCAAGGGGAGCGCAGGTAAAGACGTCCCTCTGGACAGGATGAAGAAACGGACTGAGGATGAGGAGGAGGACATGGATGTGACGGAGGAGGGAGAGAGGAGGAAGAGTGAGGAGGAGGAGGAGCAAAGAGAGACCCCCATGGACCAGTCCGAGCCGGGTCTCCTTCAGAACCCTGCTCCTGAAACCAGTAAGGACTCCTCAATGGTCTCAAAACCCAACCCAGTTCCCATTTCAACTCAAACTCCAGTACCAGCACCAGTCCAGACACTGGATCCAGGACCAGTACAGAAACCAGGACCGGTTCCGGTCCAGACAGCAGATCAAGGACCAGTTCTGGTCCAAAAACTGACTCCTAGACCAGTTTCAGTCCAGACACAGGTTCCAGGACCCGTTTTGGTCCAGACATCGATATTAGGACCAGTTCCAGGTCCAGTTTCAGACCAGACTCTGGATCCAGGTCCAGTTTCAGTCCAGACTCTGGATCCAGGTCCAGTTTTGGTTCCAGAGGTCTCAGTCCAGAATCAGAAGCTGGTGGAGCCTCAGCGGGACCTGCAGCCCGTCAGTCAGGAGGACTTCTGTGAGAACATGTCGACCCAGTCTGATAATCAGTCAGGTACCAGGCCCAGACCAGAACCAGAACCAGAACCAGAACCAGTGTTATTGTGTCATATTTAATCTGTCTTCTGTCTGTCCCTCACAGCCTTGTCCAGTCTGTCCTCTCAGTCCCCGCCCTCCTCCCCCTTCATCCCCTCCTCAGTAGAAGCCCCGCCCCCTCTGCTCCCGCCTCCGACCGCCCACCCCACCGACCTCAGCCTGTCCCGGCAGGAGGACACGCCGGCGGAGGCGGAGTCTCTCTGCCAATCAGAGGATGAGTCTGAGAGCTTCGGCCAATCACTGAGCGGGCCCTGGGAGATGAAGGCGTGGCCTGAAGGCCGGCAGGTGCTGACTCACCTGGTGGAGGGCTTCGTCATCCAGGAGGGGCTGGAGCCGTTTCCTGTGAGTCCAAACAGAGTATCTGAGCTAACCCTTTACAGCAGCTGGTTCTGACCCGACGGGCCTGTCCTGCAGGTCAACCGCTCCTCCCTGCTGGTACCGGACCAGGTGACCAAACCACAGGAAGTGAACGGGACCAGCGGGAGGCCGGCCCCGCCCCCGTCCCCCCCCCCCCCCCCGCCGCCTGCCACAGAACCGCTCAAACCCACCGAGCCGTCCACGGACTCCGAGGAGGACGGAGGACGAGACGCAGACGTCCCCGGGTCCAGTAAGACTTTCAGAGTTTAATCTGGTCTTGGTTTAAGGTTCCGACCCAACGTGTCCCCTGTCCCTCAYAGGACCGGCCCACAAGGACCGAGCCGTCCTGCACTGCCAGTTCTGTGGGAAACGAGGCCACGCCCACAACTTCATGAGGTCCAAACGCTTCTGCTCCACTTCCTGTGCACGAGGGTGAGACGGGTTCTGATGGGTTCTGATGGGTTCTGACGGGTTCTGATGAGTTCTGATGGGTTGTGATGGGTTCTGATGGGTTCTGATGGGTTCTGATGGGTTCTGACGGGTTCAGAGTGAAACAATGTGCTGGTTTTATTGTGTAAAAGTCCTGATCCGGTCCTCGGCTCTTCAGGTTCTTCAGGTTTACATCTTTTTTAGTTTTTGTTTTCCTTCGCCCTTTTTAAGCTAAAGTTTAGCTCATTTATTCTTGCAGCTAGTGTTTGGCTCATTGAACTTTTAGCTGCTATTTAGCTTTCAGGTGGGCTGCAAGAGGGTTCTGGTGGTTCTGGTGGTTCTGATGGTTCTGGTGGTTCTGATGGTTCTGTTTCCATTGGAAAAACAAACAGAACTGAGGTCTGGTTCAGAACTTTTGCACAGTTTAGTGTCTCAGCTGCAGTGGTGGTTCTGGTGTTGGCAGGATGTGCACGTGTGAGTGTGCACGTGTGTGTGCATGTGAGTGTGAGTGTGCACAGTGCTCTCAGATGTGGCTCATGTGAACCGAGGCTTCAGCTCGCGTCTCGTTTGGTTGCAGGTTCAACGTCCGTCTGACGAAGCGCCTGCGAGCCCTGAGCGCTGGCAGCCGGGCCGAGAGGCCCCGCCCCACCCTGAACCGGGCCGAGTCGGTACCAGGGAAACCTCTGCTGCTGCGCCTGGTGAGAACCCACCTCCTGACCTGAGCTGCTGCTGAGTTAACACGTTTATTTTAAATCTTTTTAATCCCATTAAACTGTTTTTATTACAGATTAAAGGAGTTTTAATCCTGTTAAACTGTTTTTATTACAGATTAAAGGAGTTTTAATCCT